CAACTTGAAAGCTATTTGGAAAGAAGCCAAATTTTTATAGCCCATTACTTATCACATCACAACCTCTCAAAGCTCTTCATTTGGCAATTACCATCAAGCGCAGTGACTTTTTGCAATAATGATACTAATCCTTGCATTTGACATAGCATCTTTCATGCCGAGAGAATGTCTAAAGAGCTTCACAATATTTACAGTAAAGTGTAGTGACTGTTTATTTGCAGGCAAACACAGAAGCCATTCACACCAACCCACAACCCAGGTAAATAAATACTTAATCACTGGAGTAAAGTCGGTGGCATTTCCCTGCCCTTAATTAACACATTATAAAACATAAGAAACTTTGTCCCATAGAATTTTACAGCCCAGACTATGATGCCTGTGGCCAAATCTCTGAAAGAACCAACCATTTAGTGCTACTCCCTGCCTTTTCCTCCCAACCTTTTACATTTCTCTTTTGTCCAAACCTGTTATTGATTCTGCTTCAACTGTCATCTGTGTTTAGGCATTCCATATCTTAAAAACTCGCTGCATTACAAAAAAATCTCCTCAGATCTCCCTTTGTTTTTTTTTGGATCAATCTTCAAGCTATGTTCTCTTGTTACCAACTTGTCGACCAGTGGAAATAACCTTTCAGTGACCTAACAAATCTCCTTTCAACCTTCTCTGAGAACAGCCCCAGTTTCTCTCAACTAAAGCCTTCATTCCTGTAGCATCCAAGTGAATCTCCTGCACCAGTTCCATGGCCTTGACATCGTTCCTAAAGTGGTGCATTTTACAACTGGACAAAAAACTCACAAATGTGGTCTAACCAATGATTTGTATACTTTCGGCATAATCTCAACACAACAACAACAATTACATTTGTATAGCGCTTTTAACATCGGGAGGACATCCCAAGGCGCTGAACAATCAGTGTTTTGGACCCGAGCTTGGGGTCGGGATCGGGGAGGGTGGGGGGCAGGACGGGGAAGGAGGGTGGTCAAAAGCACGGTCGAAGAGGAGGGTTTTGGGATGGGTCTTGAAGGAGGCAAGGGAAGGGGCGAGGCGGAGGCACAGCGGGATGGAATTCCAGAGGGTGGGGCAAGAGTGGCTAAAGGCCAGCCCGCCAATAGTGGGGCAGGCGAGGCAGGGGATGTGAAGCAGGCTGGAGCCCGCTGAGCGGAGGAAGCGGACAGATTGGTAGGGGGTTAGGAGGTCGCAAAGGTAGGGGGGAGCAAGACCATGGAGGGCTTTAAAAGTGAGGACCAGAATCTTGAACTGTATCCTCTGTGTGATGGGAAGCCAGTGGAGTCGGGTGAGGGTGATAGAGTCGCAGAGTCTAATGCGGGAGAGGACACAGGCTGCAGAGTTCCAGATGATCTGCAGCCTATGGAGGAAGGAGTTGGGGCGGCTGACAAGCAGGGAGTTTGAGTAGTTGAGTCTGGATGTTATGAATGTATGTATGAGGGTCTCGGCGGCCTGCGGTGTGAGACAGCGGTGGAGCCGAGCGAATGTTGCAGAGGAGGGAAAGGTGGAGCGGGTCATGGGACAGACATGGGGTAAGAAGGACAGTTAAGGGTCGAACAGGACACCGAGGTTCCGTATTGGCTCAGTGAGATGTAGACTGCATCCATGGAGGAAGATGCTGTCCGTGCCCGAGGTATGAATGCGCTGACAGAAGCCAAGCAGGAGAGCCTCGGTTTTGTTGACATTCAACTGCAGGAAGTCAGCTGTCATCCAGGACTTAATGACCGACAGGTAGTCCATGAGGACAGCAGGGGTCCTGGAATCGAGGGTGGAGGCAGAGAGGTAGAGATGGGTGTCATCCGCATACATGTGGAAGTTGACCTCATGTCTGCGGATGATGTCGCCAAGGAGGAGCATAAAGATATTGAAAAGGAGGGAGCCAAGGTTAGAGCCCTGAGGAACACCACACGTGACCTTGCCTCTTCCTTGTATTCCTTGTATTCCTAGAATCTCAGTAGCTTCCTTTCTTTCACAGCTGTGTGTATGTGCCTTCCTACTTTTAATGATCTATCTTTACTAACCTCCCGGTCCCCTACTTTTTCATTCCTTTTAATCTTTTAACGTTTAGTGAATATTTCATCCACTTTATTCTTTCTCTCAAAATCTATCCACCTCACACTATTATGAATCCAGATTGTACCTGCTGTCTGTCTGCCCAATTCATTGATCTGTCTACATCCCCTTGAAGTCACTGAATAATAATAATAATAATAATCTTGCATTTGACACCGCGCCTTATAATGTCTTCGAGACAACAACAACTTGAGTTTATATAGCACCCGTCACTCGGTGTACCGTTTTGGAGCGCCTCACAGAATATACTAGAAAGCAAATTGACTATATCTTCTTGGCGAATTTACATTTGTGGGAGGCCTTACACTTCACTCAGCCTCAATCTCCTTTATAATCTGGAGGATTGTTGGTCAAGACCTCCCTTTTCCACCTTGTGTCAGGGGATCTTTAATGTCCACCCGCAAACAGGCAGACAAGTGTTTCCACGCATCGCCATGATGTGCTTCCAGTTATAGTAATGAACTCGCATTTACACGATTCGAATTAAGGAATCCCATTAAGAAATATCGTAAATTAGACTCCAGTATGCGTGAGTGACTGACTGCGAGTGCGTGGCAGCAATGGCATCTGCAGCTCCTATTTGCACCAGTTTATCTCAGTGAGGGTGAAAATCCGTTTCCCTTTGTTGCAGCTTCTTAACAAACTGAGCAACATGACAGTGATCGATGAGAGGAGTAATTGGCTGTCAGCGCATTCCCCTCATTCTACCTTCTGCCTCATCTACACACACTAAAGCCCCAGCTGGCTGGACTAATGCCAGTACCAGCATTTGCCGGCTTTATTCAGTGCCAAAAATGCCGCTAAACATCGATACCACAGGAGACAGCGAATAAGCTATTTTCTGCTTGCAGGATTTAAAACCGAGTAAAAGCGAATCTCCTCTGGCCACCGGAGCCCAGCCAGCCAGCACGGTGAGGCAGGGGTGCACGAGGGGGTGTGGGCTAGCAGGAATCAGGCCCAAGGACATGTTTTTAACTCAGGCCCTCTCCAGTTCAGTATGAATTTTGGACAACTGGAGTTGGTAAGCCAGGGGTTCAGTGTGGTAATAACTTGTATTTATAAAGCACTTTCCAAATCAATATAAATATCTCAATGCATTGATATGTCAACATATACAATTGATTAGGAATGGAAGTGAAGGTTCTTAGGTACAGTAGGCAAGCACAGCAAGCAATCTGCCTCTAGGCCACCCCATAAACAGCATTCATAGATCATAGAATTAAATGGAACAGGAGGTGGCCATTCGGCCCTTCGTGTCTGTGCCGGGCTCTTTGAATAGAGCTATCCAAATCAATCCCATTCCCCCCGCTCCCTCCCCATAGCCCTGCAAACTTGTCCTCCCCAAATAACTATTTATGTTGTTCATTTGAATTTGGGGTCAAATTGTGATGAGGAAGGGGAATATAAGTGTTCTGCGACGCTGCTCCATATGAAAGACACTATATAAATGCAAGTTGTTCTTGTTGAATGTAAGTCAGGATAACTAGGAAACATACGCTATATTTCTTTGCATTATCAAGGGCAGAGCAGACCTTTTACGTCTGCCTGAATAAGAAAGGTAGAGAGAACCAGAAATGAATAGCATTCTAAAATCAAAACTCAAAATACTGCAGAGGCTGGAAATCTGAAAACAAGGACAGAAGTAGCCGGAAACACTCAGCAGGTCAGGCAGCATCGTCACCTTCGTCAGAACCCAAAACATTAACTCACTTTCCTTTCTCCATAGGTGCTGCCTGACCTGCTGAGTGTTCCCAGCGACTTCTGTTTTTGTATTCAGCATTCTAAAATATTTGATTCAGAATGTTATTATTTTATACTGGATCCTCAGAAAGACGTCTCCAGTTGCGAGAGAATGTTGGTGGGTTCAGGTGAGGAGCCGGTGGTTGGAACTGAGCTGTGTTTGCTCGTTGGATCCAACAGGCTGTCCTGTGAGTCTGTAAGCCTGGCTGCCGCTACAGGCAGCTCGGGCACAGCAGTGGAATTGAATTAGCATTCGACACAGAAGAGAGTTCTGTGCAGAGCACAGTCCACTGCAGGGCTGAGCCTTTGACTTGGTGACAGTATGTGAGTGAGTGTCTGGCGATAATATCAGAGAGCATCGGCAGCACAGGAACCCGGCTGCCCCTGTGTGGGGGGGGGGGGTGGAGATCCATTGCTCAGTTGATGTGCAAGGTGCTGCTGATTGACAGAATGCCAGTAAGTGTGCCCGCACGCGTGTATGTGTGTGTGTACCAATGAATAGAACTTGCACTTTTATAGTGCCCTTAACATCAAAACATCTCAAAGCACTCCACACAAATGTTTGCATCAGGCCTGTTAGTACATGTGTGTTTGTGCACGAGTATAGAAAGCAAATTGCGACTCTGCCAGGTTGTATGTATGCGATTTTGTCAGTGGATGTAATAGGTATGTTGTCCTGGTCAACAATCCCCCAATTCAAATCGGTCATTCACTATATGTCTGTTTGTTGGACGTTGGTGAGTGCAAGTGACATTTACATGAATACATGTACACAGCTGCTGCACTTTGCAGTAATTCCTGTAATGATGATGTGATAACGCTATATCAAATGTAAGGATTATTATTATTATGTAAAACATGCATAAAAGGATTGACAGTTACATATTTAAGAGCATCAATAGTTCCCTCTGGAATGTGGGCTGAGGCTAGACAGCCTCCGAGGAACCTCTATCCCTCAGGTCAATTCAGGAGAGGGAGAAATTAGAGGCAGGAAGAAAATCACTGAGTTTCCTCACTTTAATGCGTGTGATGTGCACACCTGGTACAAAGTGATTCTGATTTCACTTCAATGCAATTATCCGACTCCTCAAACTCCTACATTGATCAGCTGCTTCTCGTAAATGGTATGTCTAACCCAAAGCTATGTCCTTAACCGCCCCCTTCTTCTCTGTCTCTTGCAGGTAAGAGGTAGGATGGTGGCTGCAGAGGGCAGTATGCACAGCCCTGCCCTGGCCTGCTGGCAACCCATTCTGTTGCTGATCCTGGGAGTGGTGCTGTCTGGAAACGCTATGGGCTGCCCAGCTCGCTGCGAGTGCTTGGCGCAGGAGAGATCGGTGGTGTGCCATCGGAAGCGTTTCATCACCGTACCCGAGGGGATCCCCACCGAAACCAGATTGCTGGATCTCAGCAAAAACCGTATCAAGACCATTAACCAGGACGAGTTTGCTGCATACCCACTGCTCGAGGAGCTGGAGTTAAATGAAAACATTATCTCAACCATTGAGCCGGGAGCCTTCAACAACCTCTTAAATCTGAGGTCCCTGGGGCTGAGGAGCAACAGACTGAAACTCATACCTCTCGGGGTCTTCACCGCACTCAATAACATGACTCAGTTGGACATTAGTGAGAATAAGATTGTCATTCTGCTGGACCACATGTTCCAGGACCTGTACAACCTCAGGTCCCTGGAAGTGGGTGACAATGACCTGGTCTACATCTCTCACCGAGCGTTCAACGGGCTACATAGTTTGGAGCAGTTGACTTTGGAGAAGTGCAACCTGACCACCATCCCGACCGAAGCTCTGTCCCATTTGCACGGTCTCTTAGTCCTGAGGCTTCGACACTTGAACATCAATGTGATCCAGAACTACTCGTTCAAGCGTTTGTACCGCCTGAAGGTTTTGGAGGTGTCTCACTGGCCGTTTCTAGACACCCTGGCTTCCAACTGCCTCTACGGCCTGAACCTCACCTCGCTGACGATAAGTAACTGTAACCTGACGTCGGTCCCTTACGTGGCAATTCGACACTTGGTTTATCTGAAATATCTCAATATGTCCTTCAATCCCATCTTGACAATTCAAGGACATTTGTTGCAGGACCTACTCCGGCTGCAAGAGCTCCATCTGGTTGGAGGGCAGTTAACCACCATCGAGCACTATGCTTTCCAGGGACTCAACTACTTGAGGGTCCTCAATGTGTCCAGCAACTACCTGACCACATTGGAGGAGGCGGCCTTCCACTCGGTGGGCAACCTGGAGACCCTCATCATTGACAATAACCCTCTGGCCTGCGACTGCCGGCTGCTGTGGATCTTCAGGAGGCGATGGAGGCTGAACTTTAACAAGTGGCAGCCAGTGTGCGCCAGCCCAGAGATCGTTCAGGGCAAGGAGTTCAAGGACTTCCCCGATGTCCTACTGCCCAACTACTTCACGTGCAGGAAGGCTCGCATCCGGGACAAGAAGCCCCAGCGCGTCTTCGTGGACGAGGGGCACACGGTGCATTTTGTGTGCAGGGCGGACGGAGACCCACCACCGGTCATCTTATGGGTGGCACCGAGAAAGCACCATATCTCCAGCAAGACCAACGGGAGGCTGACGGTCTTTCCAGACGGCACGCTCGAGATTCGCTACGCCCAGCTGCAGGATAACGGCAGCTATCAGTGCATCGCCATGAACGCTGGGGGTAACGACAGCACCACTGCCACTCTGCACGTCCGAGGCTACTCACCAGACTGGGCTCATCAGCCAAACAAAACATTTGCGTTTATTACCAACCAGCCCAATGACAGCAATGCCAACAGCACGCGTTCCTCCTTGCCTTTCCCGTTCGACATAAAGACGCTCATCATAGCGACCACCATGGGTTTCATTTCCTTCCTGGGAGTGGTCCTCTTCTGCCTGGTCCTCCTGTTCCTCTGGAGCAGAGGCAAGGGCAATACCAAACACAACATCGAGATCGAGTACGTGCCCAGGAAATCAGACGCAGGCATCGGGACCTCCGATGCCCCGCGCAAGTTCAACATGAAAATGATCTGAGGCTCCCGAGGGTGGGAGCTGAGTTGAGTTGAGCTGAGTTGATCCTAGCTGAGCTGAGCTGGCAATAACCTGCCACGTTCAAAAGACGACAAACTAAAGAGAAATACTAAGGGAGCAATGTTCCAATGTATTCTTTACAACAAAATGCCTGACTTGGGTTTGGTGACAATCGCCCCTCCTGGACCTGTTTGAAGACTGCTCCCTTTAGTTACTTGGAATGCAAACAAAACGATTTGGATCCCAAATATAACTTCTACCATTTTTTTTCTACATGTAGGTAATGGCCATGTGCTTGCTCAGAGAAAGCTAGTGAACGCTTCCCAATCGCTCCCCCGCCCCCACATGTTCACAAGATACCCCAATTATGGAGTTTGGCAACAGTTTAAATTTAAGAAAATTTAAGATGGTTGACTTCAAATTGCCCAATCCCCCCTTCCCACCACTGTCAATCATAAGACTGTTTTTGATGTAAGGCTCCCAGTCTTTTCTGTATTATATTCTGTGTTGTGTTTCACTATATCTAGTGTTCTGGCCACCCCTAAGTAAAGCTCCTGATGCCCGCCTGAAATCCGGGCAGGGGCTTGGGGTGGTGGGGGGAATGATGAGCATTGATCGCTCTGTTAGTTGGTTGAAGACCACAATGAACTAAACGCCTTCCAGAGAACAAACAAACCTCCAACTCATTAATAACTTCAGCCCTTGAATCAAGGTGCATTGAGGCATCCGTATGGTCAATGTACAATACGGTGCCTTATCAAAACACCTCCAAACACTCTTAAGCAAATAAGTGACTCACAGTAATGATGAAAATGACATATTAGAGATATTTGGAGGACAGGCAAAGGCTGGCTTTCTAGTTATTTGTATTTATTTTTACATCGATTCTTTAGTGAGGTGGAGCTGGACACAAAGAGTATTGAGTTGAATGCTGGTGAGCCTCTGTGTGATACTGTAACTCCCTCACCATGTACTCCTCGATCTCAGGATGTCCAGCGGTTGTTACTGCAGGACTGTAACTCAGCAGAGTGTGCTTGGGCTGTTACTGATGTTCAGAGAATCTATCCTCATTCCCCCACTCCCCAATAGTGTGTTCCAATTAGATTGCTCTAACCGTACTGATTTATGAGAAGCACTCACTCCCTTACTCTGTTACTTCACTACGTTCTCACAACCCCTCAAAGCTCACTGTTGTGATAACACATATGTACACCGGAGCACAGATGTTTGTACATGTGTGTTCAGATACCCAGACGTACATCTACACTTGATCACATACAAGCAGGTTCACAAGCAAATGTTCCCATTTGCTCAAATATCCGTACGAACATGCTGCACAAATAACAGCTAGACACACATTTGCTTTGCTGTTGTTGGCTAAAATCACAATTGCACAGGAGTTGACAAAACACTGTACTCTTCTCATCCATTCTTAAACAGCAAATGCTAAAGGAAATGCTTTCATGTACATATACACATAGACGATGTAGAGGTGCTTATAAAATACCCATACAGATATACACTCAGGATTTTTACATATTCATTTGTAAATATTTGCCTAATACGTTCATTTGGCCAGAGAAGAATGCACAGTTTAAGGTTTTCTGAATTGGGGTTCATTTTATGTTTTGAGAGGCCTGAGATCTCTATTTGAATGCCAATTTTGACAGAGCTAGGTTCCGGCATATCCCAGACATGATTTGAGTGGCCGAGGCTAGTAGCCAGTCTCCAATTACTTGTACAAAGACATTTCTCCTCTCTATTAGGGGAGTTCTTTGAACGGAAAGCATTTCCTTTAGCCTTTAATGTATAGGAATCGATGGGAAGAATGAAGTACTTTGCCAGCTCCTGCCCGATTATTATGTTAAGCAATATTATCAAATTAAACGCTGGGGTCACAACCTTACACAGATGCATACAAACGTACATGCAAACTGACGTGTGGGCATTTATTCGAATTCATACATGCATATAATCGAATGAATGTCTCCACAGCCAACAGTCATGTCGGAGTGAGTTCAGCAATTGTTATAAAGCAATCTTCCAGTGCAGAGGTGTTCAGGAGGATGGTAGGATATGTCAGTGGTGCATATTACATATCTGTAACTCTTCTTAATATGCCCTTCTGCCCACACAAAGCTCCAAGCAGAGTTATCGGACGAGAGGCGTTAAGGGTAAGATGGCCAGTGCCATGTGCACCCTACCTCTCATGTCAGCTAAACACATGCACACACACACACACACACACACACAAACAAGTGAACACAACCCCGCATGAGAAATTCCACCCAGGTCTCAATTTACTCGTATTAATGTACTATTTTAGGGTGCCCAGATGTGGGCAAATTGTCAAATTCAGCCTTAACTTTCAAGATGGTTTTCTGTAGTTCCTGAAAGAAAGTTAACAGAAAACCAGCTTCAAAACTAAAGTTGTGGTTAAAAATTCGCCAAATACTGGAAGCCCTGAAACACAACATAAATAGAGTAAATCTAGATCCAAGTGAGACTTCTCCCCAAAATATCTGATAGCTATAACAAATAAGGATAACCGGAAAGACTGAGAAGATTAGAAATGTACTTCAGGTCAAAAAGCAACTGGGAAGAGAAGAGGCCAGCATTTCGGTGTGTGACATTTAGAGTGTTGGAAGCCTGGTACTGAAGGGATGTTGACCTATGCCCAACGCAGCAGATACCAGGGAGCAAAGCTCCTTTGACCTTTCCTGGATAACGAGAGCCACTATGACGTTTTCCACAGTAGATGTAGCATAAACCGTGCATGCAGTTTTGACCTGTTTATTGTACAATGTTTGTGTTCTGTGACTACTGAGGTTCCAGATTCGAGCAGAAAGCTCGCTCATTCGCTGCCGACTGCAAACCGGTCACAGTCTCCTTTGAACCTGACAGAGAGAAAGTGTTTCACTGCCTTTTTCTGAGCTGTAAATATCAAACTGCAGCATTTTTATCGGAAACCTTTTTGTGCAGAAAACCCGGGTGGGGTGGTGGGTGGGGGGGGAGGTGGGAATAAAGAAAAAATCCATTGTTTTTTTCTCACAAGGATGTGACGGTTATCGTCTTGATGTAAAAATACTATTTTCGTTTCTTCACTGAAACTTCCCGGATGTTTCTATATTAAAAAAAAGCAGAGGATTTTCCTGGTCTTTTTTTCTGTAACTGACTCCGCCCGGCTCTGGGAACAATGCTGAGCCAGCCTCAGAGCTCAGCTCATGAGAGAGAAAAAATATGTTTTTTTTTACAACGTCTGGGAATGGTAACGCAAATGTCTTGTCAAAAGGACATCTTTTTACTGAACCTCGTTGAATTGTATGTGCAATAACGGTAATATAATCAAGATGATATAATAAAGGTCATATGCAGATTTTATATTCAACACTGACACTTTCTGGTATTTGATGTTTCACTGGAAGACGCAGCCTTATGAGGTAATGCCAAAACAAAGTGCAATACACTGTGTTAATGTCTGGTTTAGATCCCCCTGTTAGGGTTTGATGGAAAGTTTTTGTGTCTGGGTTATTCTTGAAGGATTCTTCTCTGAAAGCTCTCCTGCCTGACTCCTCTGACGTTAAGTGTAATTTCATCAATGCTGTGGTCGGATCAATAGTTAGCTTCTGAGGGCTTGGCTCATTTCCAGCAATTTTCTGCTATCTTTGGTATAATGTATTGTGCGTGACATGTACTCAATGGCACAATAGAGAAGTATGGTAGTATCAGGTCAGTTGAGAAGAATGTCTTGCATTGTACAGTATCACTGGTCTGAAACGGAATGGAATAGTAAAAGACTTCCTGCACAATCTATCGATGATCCAGAACTGAACACATTCACAAGGCTTATATTCCAAAGAGATAAGTCTTAAAGGTGAGTCTGGATAATCAGAGAATCGCTTTAAGATGGTTGGAATGAATTGGCAAATATATTCTTCACACGGCAAAGCTCGCTTGAGCTCCATCTACACAGAGTTAATCCACCAAATATACATTGCTTGGTGAACCCAGCTCACTAACCTGACGACAGAACAGGAGGCAGGAGAAACCGATGGATGTGGATTCCTGTTCAACTGCTAAGCTCTGCTCATAGGCTGGGCTGCTATAATTGCATTTCTTAAACAGAGTTTTTATTTCATTTGACAAATTGTTTGCTGATACGTTCTTTTGTCTACATCAAACATACAAAAGAGCTTGGGGGAAGTTGAATGTTTTAGCAGGACGAACAAGGAATATTTGCCTTATGGACATTTTTCACCCACGTTAAAGCAGTCAGAAAGCCATATGTTGTCAGGCCAGAACCAAAGGAAATGAGAAAAAGCATTCAAATGCCTCTAGAATAGCTGAAAGTGTTCAGTGCCTCAAGCATCATGTGGGCTGTCTCCCAGCAATAACTTTCCTATCATACGCCCACGTCCGAAGTGAGCAAGACTCCCACTGGAAATATTTAAGAGGGAGGCTAGAATAGAGAAACTTTTTTATGTAAAGAGTTATCAGAATATGGATAAGTGACTACAAGTGACTATTTGCTGTAAGTTCACTATTGCAGCTGAGATCATAACAACATTTCGTTAACAACGATCATATCAACGTTTTCACTAGTTGGGTAAACAAATGAGAAGGAAAAATAAAGAAGCTTTCTGGGACGGGCATTATAATTTCAGCAGTTAGCTCCAATGGATGAGCTTGCAGCTGCAGCAAAGCGCTTCACAGAAGATATTGTAAGTGTAGTGACTGTGGATTTTTGTGAGCAATACGCAGCAGCCAGTTGCACACAGCAGTGTCCCACAGTCATGGATTCAGTGACCAAATTATTGTTATTTTTGGGGAGGGATTATTACCCCTGGAAAGCAATCCTCCAATTGACTAACGACCAGGTTCCTACTTACTGTTAGGTAAACAGAGGGGTGTATGGGGTAAGGCAAATGCCGGAGGTTTTCTCCCCACCTGGGAATCGAACCCAGGTCCTCTGACTTCTGAGGCAAGCATGCTAACCATCAGGT